TGCTTAAGTCTTAGTATTTATCAAGGGTGTCTCCCAAGATCGTGAGAATCGGTATGCAATAAAAATGAATAAAATGCTAGAGCTTGGCTGAGGAAAAACGAAAATTTCTCAAGATTAGAGGAAAGAAAGAGGTGATGCTCCCGACTTCGCCTTCTTTACGCTCGGAACATAGTAGAAAGAAAACAAGGAATCTGGAGCAATTTCTACAATTATCGTAGCTAATAACTTGTTATTATATGGAATTATACTTCGTACTTCATGCTGATTATCTGTGCTGATCCTACCCTTTTTGCTTGTAAGATTTCAAACAAAAAAATAAATGTTTTATTGAATTTTTCAACAAAACTCTGAGTCTTGCCAGGGCTGTCGCGAGATGTTAAAGAATTGGGGGGAGGGGAGGTGACGAAAAATTTTTGGAAAATTTTTCAAAAACCTCTATAAATTATCGAAATTTTGAAAAAAGAAATTTACGGATTTTTTGAAAATTTTTGGAGATCTTTGAAAATATTTGAAGGTTTTTCAAAGATTTTTGAAAAAATTTAGAAATTTTTGATAATTTTTAAACGATTTTTGAAAGTGTTTCGAAAATTTCTTGAAAGTTTTTGAAAAAAATTGAGCAGAAAAAACAAAATTTCCAAAAAATTGAGAGGGGGTGACCCCCGTCCCCCTCCCCGCTCGCGACAGCTCTGAATCTTGCACAGATTATGCCGGTAGTAAACTTTTGACTTGAAGCTTTGCAGATATGATGCTTTTAATGTGACTAGTTAATTCTAAAAATTTCAACTTTTCGTTGTTTCTGTCATAAAATATACATATTCAAAATTCTGTCTTGTGAAATAAAGTAAACTTTGCGCTGATATTTGTAGCTCATGTCAGAAACAACGAAAAAAAGTGAAACATTCAGAATAAACTAGTCACACTAACAATATTATTTTTACAAAGTTTTGAGCCAAAACTGAAAATCTAACTTTTAACATGATCTACAGACGACTACAAAATTTCGTTGAAAAACTTAGTAGAAATTTTATACCATAAGAATTAACGCCTAGCGAGTCCAATTATGCTAAATTTTTTCAATGCTCACCAACACTCGTCAAATAAATAGTTTTGATCTAGAAACGATTTAAAATCTGGAGAGATTCCCTCAAGAATTATCAACGTTGCTCGATAAAAAATCTAAAATTAGAAACTATTTATAAATGACTTTTAGAATCAAAAAATTGATTTAGAAGGCTAAAACACAAGGGGAGAACATGATTCTGTGATTTTGTGATCTAAAATGATTTAAAATGATTTAACGTGATTTAAAAATGATTTTAAATCATCTAAAATCAATTTTTCAAGTGATTTAACAAGATTTACAAATGATTTAATTTTGATTCTCAGATGATTTAAATCAGTTGTTTTCCCCTTGCTAAAACATGTATATATCTGAGCTCATATTGTCTATTAAAGAGTTAATCGATCTGAAAGATAAGTAATTGTTTTACAAGTCATTAGTATATTACTGGTAGTAGATTTGTAGTCCTATTGGAGCAGAAGAAACTTCAAGATGTGAATGCCTGTAGTATATTGTAAACATATAACGCCGCATAACTGCAAAATATCTAATGAATATAATTAGAATCTCAATACGAAACATACATTTTATTTATAGGACTCTATTACTGATGTTCATCTATTTTATCTAATTTGTAGTAACTGATACGAGATGATTGGTCGCTTGTAATCAGAATCCAAGATGCATTTAAATGCAACTCTTAGTAGCTTTAATGCAAGTTTCAACTTAGGTTCAGATGTCAAAAATCGATCTTGTTGCCTAGCTGTCTATTGCGCGTAACACTTCTAATATGTGTACTTTGTTCTTTTTTGCAGCTGTGGGTGTGGGTGTGTGGATGTGGGTGTGTGGGTGTGGGTGTGTGGGTGTGGGTGTGAGTGGGTGTGCGTCTGGGTGTGGGTGTGTGGGGTGTGAGAAAGACACACCCCACACCCACAGACCGTGACAGACACTCACGTGACCCATCACAGACCGTGACAGACACTCACGTGACCCATCACAGACCGTGACAGACAGGGCTCTGGACCCATCACAGACCGTGACAGACAGGCTTTGGACCCATCACAGAGCGTGACAGACAGGCCCGGGACCCATCACAGACCGTGACAGACAGGCTTTGGACCCATCACAGACC